TGGCATCATGTTTAAACATGTATATTTGCAGCTTACTTAAGTCTTGTATAGAGGGGAAAGTTTGAGGCTGATGATTAGTATTGACTCTCTTTTCAACAACTATTTTTTTAAAAATTGTTTTTATATCATCTTCATTTCTGAAAGTATCCCTCCTTCCCCATCCCTAGTAACAAAGACAAAAAAGAAAGAAAAAAAAAGTAGTTCAGCAAAACCAAGCAACATTTCAGCTACATCTGATAGTACTGCCATAGCGCCTCACCTCCACAGGAAGGGAGATTTATCTTCTCACCTCTCAACTATTACTTTGCAGTGAAGCAATGTCCATTCAGTGAATAGGCCTATTTAAGAAGCGAGTCAAAGAATGGCCCCTTTAATTAACAAAAAAATAAAATAAACTAGAAGGAGAAGACCCTCAGAGTTGCTGGCCAAAAGAGAAACAATTACTATTTACTTTCACTCTTAAGTCAGGAGGGCCCAAAAAGTAACCATTAAGTGGTGCTTGGGCAGAGACCTGTTGTTGTCCAATCAAAGCCAAGGTCTCCCACTGCATCCTGGGCCATCTCCAGTTGTCCTGATCTGACCACTGGACCCAAATGGCTCTGGAAGAAAGTGAGGCTGCTGACTTTGCACAGCCCTACCTCACTTAAATCCAATTCATTTGCAAATCATGTCATCATCTTCCTGACTTCAGGGTCCTCTTTGAGAAGAGAAACCACACACACACAGTTACTTTGCAGTATCATAAGAATGCCTGCTATTGAAGAATTTTAGACTTGGAGTATTCTTATGTATTATCTCTGAAATAGTCTATTAGGCTTTGACAGAAAATTAAGGGTATTTATTTGTTAGAAAGAAAGGAAGGAAAGAATAAAGAAAGGAAAGAAAGAGAAACTGAGCTTTATTTGAATCTTATATCAGAGTTCATATACATTCCTGACTTATATGGATTATTTTTATGGACTTTTCCCCACTAAAAGCAAAACCTAGAATATCTTGTTTCTCTCCCCCTTCCTTATTTTGGGTTCACATCTTTGATTTCACGTGAGGGATGGGGAACTCTAGTTATGAAAACTCCCTACTCTGACACAGATCAGCTACTTGTCTGTAAGTAAGTTCTACTGTTAGTGAGTTGCCTAGTGAAAGGTTAAGAGACTTGATTAGGTTTACATGGCTAACACCTGTCAGAAGCAGGAATTTGAACTCCTACAAACTGTATCATTATGCTGGTATTTTCTATTGAAATTTAATGGGTTAATTCATTGACGGTGGAGGGAGTGGGGGAACATGTTCCACTTTTTTCAGTGAACAGTTGCAATATGCATTCTGCATTGCAATGAATAACCATTTCTAAATGTTTCTACCTACTTTTAATGTGAATGACCCAAAATGTTAACTACAAATTTGTGCATGTGCAAATGGATGTTCGGCATAGGCTGGAATGATTTGTAGAACTATAACTGAGGTGGAGTCTTGGAAGCCTTAACTTAGGGAGAGAAATTCAGAAAGCACTGAACTGGTAATAATATTCTGTCCTCTTTCAGCACCTTAGAAACCTCATGGTGTTCCAGGGTTATGCTTCCTTTTACTGCTCCTTCCCCTATCATGCAGCTGCATCCAAGTAAGCTTACCTTCTTTTTCCAGCACTACTATTGGCCTGTGGTGCAAAAAAGAAAAAAAATACTAGTTACAGTTTTGATGATTTTCATATTATTTTGGTCATTCGGATGTTTATTTGCTATTCATTCTTGTGCCTGAAAACTTTCAGGGCTGTCACTTAATATTGAACCTTTGCAGTTTATAGAGGATATTATTTATTGTGATTTCATATGCATACAATCACATCTCAACCATAATAAATTTTTATAGATATTCGTAGGTAGGGCTAAAGGTTCAAGTAAGACAGGAAATGAAGGGTCTCAGATCTGTAGCTGCTGGCCATGCAATACTATTTTGAGAGCATTTGAGTCTGGGAGATTGTGATTCTCTGAGAAAATTTTAAATGAAAGTTAGCATTTATTTAGCTACTAATAGATATAGATTTTTGGAGCTGCAAGGGTCTTTATGATCATCTTTTATAACCCTTTCATTTTTTTATGATGCATTTGGGCCGAACTCACTTGCCCAGTCTCACAAAGCTAATGTTAGATTTGAACTCAGATCCTCCTGACTCCAGGGCTTTTGCTCTGTTTATTACACCACCTAACTGCCGCTATAACCCCTTCATTTTACAGATGAGGTATCTTAGCTTCAGAGAAATTAAATTACTTGCCCAAGATTACACACCTAAATTAATGACAGAGTTGAGCCTGGAACCCAGTCCCTCTGACTCCTAGGCTAGTTTTTTCCTCCTGCACTATGCTGGCAAGCTGAGCTGGAGGGTGTTATATTGCTAAATTGCCCACATGACCAATTTTAAAAAAGGCATAATAAAGAGTCAGTTTAATTAGTTTTGCATTCCCTCTCAATTGAGGCTATTTAGCCACTACATAGCTACTTAAATTCCTTGTTTTATGGCTGTGAGCATTATTTCCTCCATAGACAAAAATGAAGCCATTTTAAAATAACCTACATATAGCAAAGCCTCAGTTATTGAAGGCCAAGCAACTACATTCCAGTAACAGTTTTTAAACCTAGAAATGGAAGTGAAAGAAAGTATCTCTCTGTTAGTAAAGATTTGGGGGTAGTAAAAGCAATGCTGGGGGTAGTAGAAACAGGAGAGTTCTATATTTGAATGCTATGTGTTATACTTACTAGTTGTGTGATTTAACCTCAGTGAGCCTCAGTTTTCTAAAAAGCAGGGATAATAAGAGCTGTAGAACTTGTCTTACAGGGTTGTTAGGAGAATCAAATGAGATCATGTACATAAAATGCTTTGCAAAACTTGAAAGTGCTAAATAAATCTTAATTATGTATTATGTATTATAAGTAACACAATAACAACAATTATACTAAAGAATATCACTGAGAAGATCTCTGATTGTGTCTAAGACAACGTGATGGTTGGTTTGCCCACTGAAACGATTGTCACTGATTTCCAATAGATGTAAATGCCAAGCTACTCACAGGAAAAGCTGATAAGGCCAAAAATCCCCAGAGAATTAATAGGAAAAGGAAACAAGAAAAAAGAATGGAGAAAAGGGAAGAGAGTGAGGGACAGCAGAATAGAGGTGGAGATTAGAAGTTATGATTAGAAACTGGAACAGAGGTGGGGAGTAGGAGACAAGATGACAGTAAAGAACAGCCAGCTGGAGCATCTGGCTCAGTGACAGGGGTAGATAATCCTTACATACTTTAATTGAACCTAAGGACCTCAGTATATTATAGTACATTCACTATTTGTGATTTCTTATTGATACTTTTGTTTTTAAACATCACATGTATTTCCTGGTATACTTCCTCTCCTTTGTAGAAAAGAAAAACAGTTAAGCAAAATATACTGACAGAGCAACCTTATCTGCCATTGTAAGCAACATTCTGTACCTGTTGGCCCCCACCTCTCTCCTGAGAGGAAAAAAGGATGTCGCACCACATCTTCTGTGAAACTAAGATTGCTCATTGCAATTAATCTGAGTTTAGATGCCCTTTGGCATTGTTTTCAGTTATGTTGTTGTAGTTATTGTGTGCATGATTCTCTTGGTTCTACCTTTTAAATTTTTTCTTTTTTATTATTATTTATTATTTATTTTTAATTTTTTATTTATCTATTTTTATTTTTAAATTTTAAATTTTATTTATTTATTTTTATTTATTTATTATTATTAATAAACATGAACATTTCAGTATACAAAAAAGAAAAAGAATCATATGAAACTGAGAACTTTTATTATGTACACTTTTAAAAGTATATTAAATTTAATATTATGGTACCAAAATTGCCTTGATTTACTGTGATCCCTTCTAAATTTCCTTCTACCTTCTTTTGCGCATTTCTAAATATTTCAATGATGCTCATTTCCATTTCCCACCCCCCATCTCTCTGGGTTCTTTTTTTTTGCCCCACTTTGTATCATTTCACATAAGCCTTCCTCCAGTACATTCACTATTCACCAGACATTTATTAAGCACCTACTATGTGCAAGGAAGACATTGTGCTAGGTAGTGAAGATTTGTAAGAATGAAACATGACAGTCTTTGCCCTTGATTACTTAATGTTCTGAAAGAAGGGTATGAATGGACCTAACTATCCCTGATGAAGGTAACATGTGATGGAATGAAGTCAAGATCTGAACAGAGTGCTTTAGGAAAATATAGGGAGAGATATTTCTGTGATAATTGGTCATCAAGAAAGGTTTAAACGTGTTCTGCATTTTCTGTTTAAGAAGAAGGGAAACAGTTGAAGATGCTTGAAAATTTCTGCCAAAAAGGTTGAAAGTTTTAAATTGTCAGTGTTTTTCATGTATAAATATATTTCAGTTTTCACAGAGAATGTAAGTTTAAGAAGCTGTATATAAAAGTTAAAATTAAAAGCTTAAAATTAATGAAATTTAAAATTGATTATGTAGTACTGCTGATTCTTGAATATATCAGATCACTACATTTTACTCATTGAAATGGTTTTGATGAGGCTGTAAAATAAATAGTTATTCCTAATCATAGATTTTATTATAATATAGATTAGAAAGTTCACAAGAAAAGAAACAACCAAAAAATGGAGGAGTGTCAGTTGTTGAATGTTTGCTTTATTTTTCCATAGCTGCTTTTCTAACAGCTTTATAACTAAAATATTTTTAATATGAAAGAACTAATGGGATATTGTTTTTTTGGTAAGAAGAAATAGTAACATTACACTTTTACTAAAAAATTTTTTTTTAAATCCTTAACACAGATAGATATAAGTAGCCAAGTTTGACTTTTAATTTAACTTTACAAGTCTACTTTCCATGAGCATTAGAATTATACCAAATTTCTTGCTTTTGTATATAGTGGCTGATCTGGGGGTTGAGTTGATATGGAGCACAAGCCTATTTGCTATAAAGCAAAAATATTTTCCTTCTTTTTAGCATTCTCTGGATATTCAACAAACACAAAATATGATCCGTATCAAATTAAAGCAGAGATTGCAAGCCGTCGTGATAGAGTAAGTAAAACATTCATATTTTCATGTTCTCTTCTATACAGTTATTCCATTCAACTATTCATTAACATTTTAAAAAGTTTCCATTAAATGATGGTATATATGCTACTTGTAAGCTTTTGTTTCAGTCACTTTGCATAACATTTTCATTTTGGTCAACTTTTGAATATTATTTTAAAAATTCAGATCATATGGATATGATAACATAAAGCCATGGGAAACAATGATTAGGGAAATAGTTTTCCTTTCCTTCTTTTAACTTTAGACAGTTAATGAATTGTAAGATTTTGTCTTCAGTTTCCTTAAGTAGGACAAGATCACCTAATTAAAAAAAAAACTTGAGGTGTTAAATTCTCATAGAAACTGGATGTTAGCTTTTTATTCATCCTCTTTATTAGGTAATGAAAGGGGAAATTCCATTTTTAAAACATTGTTCTTTTCAGAATTAGCAGCCATTCAATTTCTGTGGTGGATTATATCCCTTTGAAACTGTATCATTTGAGAGATAAAAGCATCATTACTCCACCAGTATCTTTTGTCTATTTAATCTGTGAGGTTGTCATTTCATCGATGACTTGTAACATCTCAGTTTTCACTTTTCGTAAGATATTTACATTATTAGCCAGTAGATGATTGATTGTATTTTGAAAGAAATGAATTCAGACAGCAGAAATGTTCATGTTTAGCTTGCTTGTGTGAACCCTCTCCCAAAAAATATACTTTGCTTTTAGCTTTCCAGACTGAAACGAGAGCTGACACAAATGAAGCAAGAATTGCAGCATAAAGAAAAAGGAGTGGAGACACTGCAAGAGTGAGTAGAAGAGTTTTTAATACATACATGTGTGTATGTGCATATACATGTATGAGTATGTATGTGTGTATGTATATGTGTATGTATATATGTATATGTATGTATAAATCTATCCATAGATAGATAGAAATATTTCTTTGATTCTGTGAATGTTTGTTAGATACCTTCAGGTAGTGTTTTGAAGACAGCATAGTACTTAGTTTAAAAAAAAATTCTTTGTTTCCCAGTCCTACCTGGACTACAACCTTTTGATTTCTGCTTAGCTCTTTGAAATGGGGGGAAAAAAAAGTAGGAACTAGGCACCTTTGTTTTTCTGTGTTTGAAAACTGTTTATCTCATCTTCCCCCTTTATTTAAAACAAGAAATCCTGAAATTTCTTCTGCTCAGAAGTCAAGAGTAAATTCTTACTATTTAGAGAAGCATTAACTCATTAACTTAGTGAATGGTTCCAGTGGTTGACCAAGTGAAACCCATGCTGATCTGAAGTCATTAATGTTAACTTTTGTAAGAATGAGTTTGGTTGTCTTTTTTCACCAGTGTAACCACTGCTTCTCACCTGAGCTCTTTAAAAAAATCCAATTTTATTTTATTTTCGTATCCAAATTCTTCCTTTCCACCCTTGCCCCATTGAGAAAGCAAAAAAACCCAAACCTTTTACAAACATGTATAATTGAGAAAAACAAATTCCCCGCTGACCATGTATAAAAACAAAAACTGACCATAAGCATCAATGTTTACTTTGTCACCTCTCTATCTTCACCTGAGCACTTGACGAAATTTACCTTTGCCAAGTAGGCCTACTAATGTTTTAATTCTTCTGTCATAATGCTTATAGGAAGGCAAGAAATAAATATTTAGCAAGTATCAATTTTACAGTGAATGAAATGACAGGTCTTTTTTCATAATAATAAGCAAATTGCTAAAAAAAATCAAGTTTACTTTTCTCAAAGACTTGCAATTTTATCTGACTTGAGAGTGGTCTAGTCTCAAAATATTCAAATGCTGAATAGAAAAGTCTCTTGCTTATTTCCTTTAATCCAGTTGTCTTCTCCTATCTGCTTATTAGCTTTACTCTACCAATGGGGGGGGCCCAAAAAGGTCAAGAAATTAGCAGCACAAGCTACAACCAGAACCTCATGTTCTGACTACTTCTAGCTTAATCCTTCTTCCACTTTATACAATTATAGAATAGAATTCTAGAGCTGAATGGTACCATAGAAACCATCTTTTCCAACCATTATTTTAGAAATGAGTGTGACCCATGGAGAATAGATGACTTGTCCAAGGTCGTACATAGGTATTAAGCAGAGGTGAAACTTCAACCTAAGTCCTTTAGTTCCAGAGCCAATATTTTTCCCATTGTACCATTGTACTGCCCTTTTTTAACTGAACAAATAGTTGATGCAATACGTTTGTATGTATGTTTCATTAGCCTATTAGCTTTGGCTTTGAATAAGGTATGTAACTCAAATTTCACTATAGTTGGATAAAGTAGTATAACTTTGCTGAACAAACCATTGTCTTTTTTTAAAAATCATTTCAGTTGTATCAATTCTGTTTTAATCTAAGAAAAAATGTTAATTATCTTATGATGCCAGTATTTTTGACTGATCATAATCTAAATTAATCATTTGATCTGGACTAAAAAGTGATATAATCTTGAATATTCTTCATACCCTTCAAAATCTAATGTTAATTTGCTCTTTGATTAACTGGGTAAATAAGCAATCACTGATATGCAGAAGTAAATCTTTAAGGAAGGGGAAAGTTAGTGAATGCATCTATAGCTCCATGCTTATTCAAATAAGGAAAGAGAATACAGATAGAACTCAGGATACCAAAGCTGGAAAGTATAGGAAAAATAAAATACAAAAGCATCTGGGAATACCATCAATTAATGATGGAAACTTACCTAGTGGGACTAAAGTGCCACTAATATGGGACTAAAATTTTTCTTTGAATATTTGTTAACAATTGTCCCTCTTTCTTTCCCCTTTCAACCATCTTGCTGATATGAGTTTATTTGAACATGCCAGTTCCCTGTGATGTATACACACACATCTCCCATAACTCCGTTGGCTGATAGATGACATGTGCAAAGAGCTCAGAAACTGGACAGTTTAGCTCATAGATTGGAGAATCTAGTGCATTCAAAACTTCAGGGATCCAGCCTTTCATCTATTAACTGATTTGGAGGCCAAGATGCCTTGAGAACCAGTGTTTGATTTGGACTTGGCTTCTCACCCATGCTCCATTAACATTAAATTTTTGTTGCACATGTTCTGTGTTGCATAACCACAAAGGAGGAAGAGGAAATATTGGTTGTGATTCCACCCTTTCAGTCTTTTGCACATGGCAAATAATCTTTTCATCTCCTGAGTTATTCAGCCTGAGAGAATTCATGTAGTTAAATGATTTTATGTTCTGATATCCAGGTTTCTGGTGCCATTTTTTTTTTGTACGAGCTAACTTGCTAACAAGAGTTAATGTTAAGGTTTGGCTCTGATATGTTTCTCAGTTGAGAATTTAAAAACAACAGTAATGAAATTTTTATCCAAAACTTTGAGAAGAGAAATTTTACTTTTTAGAAATGGGCAACTAGGTGGCCCAGTGGATAGAATGAGAAGCTGAAGTCAGGAAGATTCATCTTTCTGAGTTCAAATCTGGCTTCAGACACTTACTAACTATGTGACCCTGGACAAGTCACTTAGCCCTGTTTGCCTCAGTTCCTCATTTGTAAAATGAGCTGGAGAAAGAAATAGCAAACCACTCCAGTATCTTGGCCAAGAAAACCCCAAAAAGGAGTCACAAAGAGTTGGATACAACTGAACAACAACAAACTTTTAGAGAACTGACTACAGAATCAAAGAATGAACAAGCTGGTATATGATATTGTTGAATCTTCTTTTACTTTCTTCCATATTCCTAACTGGAAGCACTGATTCCATATCCAACAGTAATTTAAAGAAAGGACCTTCAATTTCCCTCCAGAAATTTTTCTGCTGTCCTGGCTTCCCAGAATATCCAGTGTATTCTTTTCCAGAGTGCCTCACTAGGAGTTTGGCTGGTTCTAGTATTTTAACCTCAACTTGTTTATCTTGGTCAGATTTCCTTCCTGGCACAGGATCCTTCATTCCTCATGGGCATAAGTGAGGGGAAAAAAGAATATTTTGTCATTTTTTTTAAAAGAAAGGATCTTTTTTTTAGGGAGGTGGCATAGTGAATTTTATTTCAGGTAATGATAGGATAATTTTTTAAAAGTAGCTTAAAGTTTGCTCTTCAGATAAGAATGTGATTTTTCATGAACTCCTCCCACACATGTACACTGGAGAAATGAATTAAGTCAGAATTAGTTTCACTTTTAGTGATTGTTACTAGCCAAAGATGAGAAGACAAATGACTTTCTTCACTTGGGAATATTGGGCATTCAGTATTCAGGTCAAATTAATGCTTCCTATTCATTTATTAAATGTCTATGAGTGAGGGTAAATTTATGAAAAATTTTATTCATATCAAAAGAAAAAAGCTGAAAGAGACTTTTAAAATTGTTCTATTATTACCTAAAAGAAAATATAGTCCACTGTTACTGAGCCTAATTATATGGTGGAGAAAGTTTGTTTTTCTTAGTAGCTTTATTAATATAGGTGAGTCCGTCAACAAAATTTACTAAGTGCTTACTATGTGACTAACAGCACATTAAGTGTTGGGGATATAAAAAAAAATGTAGTATCTGCCCTCAAGGAGCTCACATTCTAATAACTCTGGTATTCTGCCCTTTTTTTTATTTGGGTAGTGGTTGAGGACTTCTAATCAATTCTTAATTTTTGACATTTTTTATTGTCTCTAATAATTTTCTAATTATTTTGTTAGACTTATGAAACATTCTTGTGTTTTATGAAAGGAATATTAAGGTACACCCCTTTTAATATTGGTTACAGTAATCCTACTGAGTGATACTGTACTTTATGATTTTTTTACATACTACTTTAGGGTATTTTAGGGAAGCTTAAACTGAATCCATGATAATTGAATATTATGTGTGTGGGTGTAAATTTTTGGAATTAGTGGTTATGACCACAGAGCTCCGGAACATCCAAAGAAAAGTGAAAAATTCATTTAGAACCTTCTAGATAACTTCCCCTATGAAGTCATTTAACATCATATAAGGATAGCCAGTAAAGCAACAAGCATTTATTAAGTGCTTACTGTATGCCAGGCAGAGTGCTGAGTGTTGGTGCCAGTGATAGTGGGAAAAAGAACTCTATTCCATTCAGTTCGACATTCATTAATCCTTTAAGGCTTATAAAACACTTTACATGTGTTATCTCACTTAATCCTCACAGTAACCCTGTAAGATAGATGCTGTTATTATCCCCATTATTACGGATGAAGAAACTGAGGCAATGAAAGGTTAAATAATTTGCCCCAGTCCTACTATACAGCTAGTAAATATCTGGTCTAAAGTAAGATTTGAACTTAGCCTTTCTGACTGCAGGTATAGCACTCTAAATGCAGCACCTACAACCTCATAAGCATCTGTTATTTACATGTTTCTGTCCTAGGTGGTGGGGATGCAAAGGAAAGAAAAACAAAAAAAGAAGCTTTTCCCTCAAGAAACTTAAGTTATTCTTTGGCTTGCAACATGTATATCAACATGGATAACAAATAATTTGAGAAAAAAAGAGCTAGCATTAACAAATAGGGAGACAAGGAAAGTTGGCTCCCATTAGAGATGGAAATGGGAGGTGAGTCTTAAAAGGAAGCTAATGATTCTGGAGGTGTAAGTTTGGAGAGAGTGCACTCCAACTATCGAGCCCAGTTTGTGCAGATAGAGATGGGACATAGAATGTGGGATCTCTAGGGAGACTGTTCTCTAAACCTCCATGCTGTAGACACTTGCAGATGAGTGGCAGATTATCTGTTTTTTAAAGGTTCTTAAAAATAGCACAGTTCCTAAAAGAAATTTCAGAAAATGTTTTAGATGCAGAAAACCAAGGAAA